TGAGTCATTAGATTTCCGAACAACGAGATTTTTCAGTAGAGAGGCACTCTCTATAACGTGCCTGGCGCCCAACTTTATTCCCGTTTTCGATAGGCGAGATGCCTGAGTTACGGTTAATCGCGCCTTAGATTTCCTTTTATCGTTTTCGCGGAATTACGCGGGTCGGACGAGCGACGAAGTTGCACCACGCTCGTGAGTGCGGTCGCAAGTTATATAAATCAACACGTCACATTTCAAAAAATCTTTGAAAAATAAAAATGTTGATGATGAAATATCTTTGGAAAATGAAAACGTGACGATTTAGAAAATGACAACATTAGTGATGAAATATCTTTGGAAAATGAAAATGTTCGTGATAATTTAGAAAATGACAACGTTGATTATGCCAAAATGGAGAATGAAAATCCTATAGATTTGTTAACTTCGAATCAGATTTTGAATGAAATTCAAATTAATGATTCTTCTGTGTAAGCCAAATTAATAATATATATATATATATATATATGTATAATTAATATATTGTATATTATATATATATATATCATATATATACGTACACACACATACATTACTTACTATTTAGTATACTGCTTTAATAACGTTTTTGCTTCTTCACTAAGTGGAAGCGATTTAATTTTAGGTTCCGGTCTTAGATGGGTGCAGATGTATAGATCCGATGATACTGCTTCAATAACGTTTTTGCTTCTTCACTAAGTGGAAGCGATTTAATTTTAGGTTCCGGTCTTAGATGGGTGATGTATAGATCCGATGATATTAAAATATTATGAAATACATCTTCATTTGTCGCTAAACGAGAGAACTTCCTGGTGTGATGGAGCCTATAAAATTTAAATACGAATAAAAATAAAGGATTAATGAGTCCATGCGCGGTTGATTTTGCACTAAAAAATCTTTAAGGTAATACTAATTTATTTGTATATCTCTAATATTTGTAATCTTTATTTCTACTCTCTTGAGCCTCTTCTGAGAGTGAACCTATTGGAAAAGCTGCAGATTCGATAATTTCCTTGCCATGGATAAGAATTTTGTGGACTGTCGACGGCATATTATACTGTGGACGTAAGTGGAATGGATCAGGAGAAGGAGCGCAATGAAGGGTAATCCACAAATGACTCCGTATAGGTATAACAGCTTGGAATATATTTAGGATTATATACAAGGGTAGGAATGTCAGTGTATACTAGGTTGAGACGGATTGACTCCAGGGAGGAGGTAGGAAGTAAGTCGGTGTGGCACCCGAAGGTGCCCGCGCCGAAAGGTGCGAAGAGCTTAGCGCCGCTTGTTCTCCTTTCCAAGAAGTTCAAATAGGGCCTTCGTCCGGTCCTGGACGAAGGGTCGGCGGCGGAAGCGAGGAATCGGTTGGAGCGGGATGCTCACCACCGAGCGCAGTCTCGTCCGCTCCGGAGACGCCTGAGTGATACGACGCAACACCTCCTCGAACCGCCCGGAGGACCCCAAGGGCCGACTGTGTTTTGCCGCCGGAGCCGGTGCAGATGGTGAATGACCGGGCGAACGAGGGAGTCGGACGATAGGACTCCTCGGGCGTCCGGGAGTTCGCGGCCTCGCCGGTGTGTGCGGGAGCCGGGTGTCAGGGCTCCCTGTGCGTCCGGAGGTTTGCGGCCGTGTCGGCGTTCTCAGCAGAGGGCTCGGCGGACCGACGACGTCCTCCGTCTGAGTAGCCCGGGTGACGGTCGGTCGTGGCCGCGGATCCGTCGGTGGTCGCTCCCGGTCCGGTAGCCCCAGTGGAATTAAGCGCCACGGACGGAGTGAGACTCCCGGGTCCAGGCGACGCTCGTAGCCGGCGGAAACGGCTGTCGCCTTCCTTGGCGAGGCCTGGCGGTCGGGTGCTCCGGGGGAGACAGGTGGTCCCCAGTCCAGGCGTCGCACGTGGTCGTCGGGAAGTACCGCCGCCTTCCTTGGCGATGTTCGGCGGTAGGGTGCCCCGGGGGAAGCTGGTGGTCCCCGGTCTAGGCGCCGTGCGTGGTCGTCGGGAGGTGCCGCCGCCTTCCTCGGCGAGGTTCGGCGGTAGGATGCCCCGGGGGAAACTGGCGGCCCCCGCTTCTTGGCGCGCGGCGTGTTGCTGGCTGTTCCTTCCTGTGCGGCGAGACTAGCCCTGGCGGGCGATTCAGCGAGGTGCCGGGTATACGGAGGCCCTGAGCTCGCTCAGGGTTGAGGGGCCGGAACTTCCGCTTCCCCTCAACGTCTGAGGCCCGTAGAGCACACTCCGTGGGTACAAGGTACTTGCTTATGCTTCAGGATAACGGCCTACTATGTAAGCACTCATTATCCTGAAGCGAGGAACAGGCTGAGGACCTCCCACGGAGTCATACATATACCGGGCGTGGGTGTTTCTTTCTTACGAGATTTGTCGTGGCGCCTGCGGCGCCTAGCGGCGGCGCCGCGCACCACTCTCGTCACTTGGCGGGCGCGCGCGGGCTCGGCGCGCGGGCCCAAACGCGCGTACATTATTGTTAGCGTACCGCTACAACATGTTATAATTAAGATATTGTATAAATTTATTTCTTGAATATTAAGGTGACAGTCCCTATTATAGATTATTTAAGATAAAAATGATTTCATTAAATTATATTACAAAAATACAAAAATGTTCTAGTTATTTTATTAAATTCGATATTGTGTATGAAATATTTAATTTTACCCATAATTAAGATCCGACCTATGATTGGAAATCACCATGTGAAAAAAATATTTAATAATATATGAGATGACGGTGATTTCCAA